GTCTTGAGGCTTACTTTCATAGAAAGATGAAAAACCAAGATCATACTACTCAATAATATGAGCTATCATTCAATTTTCTGACAATAGTTGCAACTTTGGTGGCGTAGGCGGCCTACCAGGCATTTGCCATGTTTCAAACATTGACATTAGGGTTTTGGCAGGGAACCCAATTCAAGATACGGACTACAGTAGGCTCGGCAAACATTTTGAAAATCTTCCATATGCCAGGCGATCTCTAAAGAACTAAGTAAGTAAATGCTCCAATACACTGCCATAACCTTTGATACGTCACTTACCTTTGAATGCAGGGGCAATTTGCCAAGCACTTATCCCACCAATCCCAAGGTATTGACCAAGACCAACTTCCATATAAAATATGGGAATTCCCAATAATATTAGACATATTGTGTATGGAATGAGAAAGGCTCCTGTAACAGAAAATATGAAATATTAAGTTCAGTATTCAAGAACCGATCATCATAGTCGATTACATTCGTGTCAACCAGTGCAAAGTGCGCCCCCAAGAATGATGCAAATATTGGCATCGATATGAGTAGTTCAAAGGTTGTTTTTTTTCTCCGATATTTGACCTAAATTGTATTAACTGTTCGATGCGATTCATGTAAGGTCGCGTCAGAACCGGGTCGTACTAACGCTAACTGAACCGATGGTACCCAGAGTTGCGGGGAAACCAGGATTGTCATTGCATATTACGGCGTGTGACACGCTGGGAGTGTGTACAAATTCTCAGCAGTCACTGGGTTGGTGTGGCTTGTTAGCTGTTGTATGTATCTGGTAGCATCGCTTATGTAAGGCCTTCGAATACGAATGTAACGTTCAGCAAATTTAACAACTGCTTAATCGTTTACTACTATCTAAATAAATGAGCTACGGCAAGCCAAAATACTAGTAGGCCAAAAAGGTCTCGATTGCATAAAGCGCCACCAGTGGCTGTTCCCGGCTCCATGCGTCAAGCATAAACTTTGTATACATCACCAATACATCATTTTATGGTTTCGGGTCGTGTGCAAAAAACTGAGGCTTTTGCCCTAGTGCTGTCATTATCAAAAGAACAACGCGAATACGGTATTTATAACGCCCTTTCACGAACAACTATAAACGCTGGTATACGTAACATAGACTAAATTGTTTCTATTATGATATTATATTTTAATTCAATACTCATATTTTATATTGATAATATTGATGATATTGATGTCACTTTTAGCGACTGGTGTCCCCCTGTGTTTATGTTGACGTTCTTTATGTCTGTAGCGAATACCGGGTCCGACCAAGTCCACAATCTATTTCCTAGAGCGCGGTGTATTACGACTGCTCATTTTTTTCTCTCTGTCATTTGATCTCAAATAATTATTTCACGAGATTACAAGTGAGATGTTTAATCGCAGTTATAATATCCAATCGGATATTACTTTTTTGATTATCCATCATGTATACAATTCTGATTTCAGGCCTGCTATCACGTTGGTTTAAGTGCTGACATAAACTCTGAGTTATTTTATACACGACTTAAAATCCCGAGAGAGGGGAGGAATTGGCGTAATATTAATAATCTTTATTGCTTTCATATCTTTAATAGGTTTTTGAATCAAATACAATACAGATGTGGAGAAAGACAAACAAACAAACAAACAAAATGAGGAAAAAAATGGCGTCTCTTCGGGAAAAGTCTATGACCATGTATCATAACACAGAATTTAGATATGGTGTGTCATAAAAAATATATACCCAAATGTACAGTAACCTGGTACATAATTGTTTTTGCAAATGGTAGTTGTAATATCCCCTGCTTAAGAAACGACGCTAGTCCTCCAATGCTCGAGTCGCCCGGTTAAATCAAACAATGTTATTATTGCTTGGGAACTCACATCTCGAGATACACTTGTAATGAGATGCTATAATAAGTATTCAACAAGTGACACTGTAGACGTAATGATAAGTTCACAAGATGTATTAGTCTGATATAATATTATTGATATTATGCCACCAGCTGTTTTTTTTCTCAAATGTGATAATGTCATGTAATCCATGGGCCCACGAATCACTCCGCAATTTGGCGACACTTCATTGCTCATTTTAAAAATGCGGGTTGTATAAAGAGATAGGGTGATAAATTAGGGTAAATAGCGTATTTATTACCGGAAGACACCTAAATATATAAGTATGCAATATGACACAGCCCATGTCACGTGGTCTTTATTAATTCGTTGAGCTGATGATCACGCTAAAGAAAACGTGTTGTCAGGAACTTAAAGGTTATTTATAACTTCTTCGAGTAGTGTTCTATTTGCTCGTGATGTCAGGAGAGATAGATGCTTCGTTCATGAGAAGAACTCAAATCTCACGTGATGTCAATACTCCGTGTTCGAGAAGATCCAATACTCACGTGATCTCAGGAGAGTTAAATACATCGTTAGAGTGATGTCATGAGGATAACATTACCTGTCTTGGAGAAGAGCCCAAATCTCACGTGATCCCAGGATGAATACAGTCTCGGTCTTGGAGAAGAGTCCAAATCTCATTATATATTTTAAAGCGAAAGTGCGAATAACTAGTTTGGATAACCATCAGTAATACTACCCGTACTACACTCTGGCTACGAGGTACCCCCCCCCCTCCCAATAATTATGTCGTATGTATCGTCAATTCAATATAAACAGCAATTTGTGTATTCGGTTCTATTGGATTTGAACGAATGCCGGACGTTTCGGCTCCGGACGTTTCGGTCCCGGACGTTTTGGCCACGGACGTTTTGGCCACGGAAGTTTGGGCCTAAGTAGAGTTCAATGATAAGATCTACTTGGCCACAGAGTGAAAACATTCTAAATGAAAGTATAATGATTTCTTTACGTTTACTTGTTGGCAATAGTGAAAATTTTTTGTATGTTTGTATTTTTATATGTTAACACCTCTGTTTACTTGATCTGATTGGTAGACATTTCTGTATGGCTTTACTAATGTCGGCAACATTACTTGTAACGTTTATTTAACAGAAGAGAGCCACTGGCCGAAACGTCCAGGCCGAAACGTCCGGGGCCTAAACGTCCGTCCACCATCTGAACAATGTCGAACCCGAGCCGGGGTTTAATCATACAAAAAGTTAAATTAGTTCGACTAACTATTGTAGACAGACATACTGATATCCATTGAACTAAATCGACTCAGATAGTGTAACAAAAATTCAATACTTTTCAAGTAAGTACTCAAGTCTGAGTTAACATTCGGCACATTAAAAAAAAAACATTGATTGTTGAGTCGAGATTTAGAGAGAAGCTGTAAACATGCTCGAATGGTAGAGACGTAGAAATATAATTTGGCATTCCAATAATCACCATAATGGCCAATATTTAGTAGTTTATCACACAATAGTGAATTACTGTGAAAATGAATAATATCTCGACTCGGATATTGATTTCATGGTGTTGTGTTTTATTGAAACACACTTTATGGCCATCCACTGATTTAATTGTACATGTAGCTTATCATTGTAAATTTGTTTTTATGTATAATCAATACCTTGAGGGAAGCGAGTTAGAAGTTGTTTCCTATTATAAGTATTTAGGTCTCGTGCTTTCTTCCAGGAACATTTGTTCTAAAGCAGTTTCTACTTTGGCGGACTAGGCTGGGAAAGCGCTTAGAATTCTTTCATCGGTATCTGTTAAACTCAATGGGGTTCATTTTTACACCCATTTCAAATTATTTGATTCAATTATATCTCCTATTCTGTGTTACGGATCTGAAGTATGGGGATTTCAATACTACGACCAAATTGAAAAAGTACATAGGAAACGGTGCAGGAGGCTTCTTGGGCTCCCACAAGGTACTGCCAAAGAAGCTATAGTTGGAGAGTGTGGGCGACTTCCAATCTTCGTTTCCACACTTAAACGTTGTATTAAGTATTGGCTTAGACTCTTAGAAAACCCCCCGACGAGAATTCCCAGGCATGCCTATTCAATGTTGCGTAATCTCAATGACATAGGTAGAAATAACTGGGTGACGGCAATTAAACATATTTTGTATTCATATGGCTTTGGGTATGTCTGGTAGCTCAAGAAGTAGGTAGCAAGGACGTTTTTCTTTCTGAATATGTACTGCGAGTCTCCGACACGCAAGAAACAGCTTTGGAAAGCAAATGCGTCCTTGAAACCTAAATTACGTAATTACATTGAGTTCAAGAATACCTTACAACCGGAGAAATATTTATCTTTAAATTGCAAGCTGAAACTCGTCCGCATTTTTGCCTGTTTTAGTTGTGGGGTTTTACCACTTAGAATTGAAGAAGGTAGGCGCGAAGGTTTGCTTTCAACGGAAAGAGTCTGTAAAGTATGTCGTGCTAATTTTGTTGAGGATGAATATCATTTTCTGTTGATTTGCCCAGCCTATAACACATTAAGACGTGAGTTAATCCCCCAACATTATTCATTCCAACCAACCATGGATATATTTCAAAGGCTTGTTCAAGCAACAAATGGTGATATTCTACGAAATATTTGTGTGTTTGTGTTCAGAGCATTTGAAGTTAGGAAACAATTGTTAACAAATTAATTATTGTTTAATTCCGTGTGATCAATAGCCGAGAATATTTATCATATTCTACTTGTACCTGTTACATTTTAAGCATTGTTTTGATATGTTTGTATATGGGCCGATGGCCTAGGAAAGCAATAAATACTTATAATAAAGTAATTGTCATTATGTAATTGAAAAACTACATTCCTCATTGACAATCAGCAGCAAATAAACTGCAATGGCCGCTTTCAGTATGGTGGAATACAACACAATTAGAACACAGTACTCTGAGATTTACGACTGTCAACGATTCACAAAAAGACAAAGAGGGTGGATTATGTCCAAGATATAATGGAATTGGTACACTGCCAAACACATCATCATTTTGACGTATGCATAATTTAATAATATGAAGTATCAATATGACACATGACGACTCTTGTCGATAACCGTTCGACGGCAGTGGGAATCGCACAGATGGTTGAATTAGGGGTATACCACTGTACCTCAAAGGTTTGGAATTAATTGACAGCAAACTTTTGAGTTGTGCAGGTGACAAAATTATAAAGCCAATGATAATTGCAAGAACACAACAACTCAAATTAAAGCTGTTTAGTAGCTTTGTCGGGTCATGTTTGAAGGCTGGATATACCTTACTATGTACATTCTGATAATATATATGTTATATTTTCACGAAGAAGCTTTGGTCATATATGCAAAATATCAAGTTGATTGGTTAAAACAGTATAAATACTATAAAGTATAAATAAGCAGCGTGGCAAAAATAATCCGATAAATGTGGCTTCTGTAAAAACTACTTCCGGCTCAGAAGAAATCAACATACATATATGCCAAAATAACAAATTTCGGATAAATTGTTCAGTGATTTACGGGGGAA